GAGTTTGAGTCCCACCTGCCTCCCACGTCTTGCTTTGACTTTCTGTATTGGGTGACCTGCCAGGACTCATTCTGTGCAACCCACTCAAATTCAAGGTCAATTTTAGAAAAGCAAATGGCTTTATACTCTGATAAAAAAAACATAAACAACTTTTAGAATCTTTTTTTTTCTACCAACTACTTTAAAAATCAAAAGCAAAACTATTTTAGATCCTCACAGTTAGGTAAACAAGATGATACATTGGTCCAATGATGTTTTTAAGGAAGTAACATCTTAAATGTTTGTGTTCTGATGCTCCCAAATTTATTCTTACATGTGCTAAGGACAAATACACTGTTTTTATTTCTTCATCTCCTTTTTGTTTTTGCCTTTGGTGATGTAAATCTTACAACGGCTTGTGGCCTGAAAGAGTATAAAGTACAACAGGTGACCCCAACACCTGTTCAGAAGCATGAAGGCAGCACAAAACAAAAAAGTTTCAGTGTGCCCCCAGGAGAATCTTGAAAAACTAGGTACCCCAGCACTCATTTTGAACTCGACATTTAAAAGGCTTTCATCTAAGTTTATGGAGTTGCAAAAGATATCATTTCTGGCATATAAATACTGATGTATTTCAACAGAACTGCTGGATCGGGACCTCCTATGCACCTAACCAGCACAGGGGTTTGGCTCCCACCACTATCCACCTAAAAGTTCACATAAACTAAGCCGTGCACTTATGTTTTGTGCACTTTTCTGTCCATGGGTTACATTCTACCACACCAAAATGCACAGGTGAGCTCCCCTCAGAAGTCAAAAAATGTACATCATTCCTTTTTTCCAACTTCTATTTAATTACATTTCCCCACAGACTTTTATCCTAGAGCAACTCATATTTTAGCATAAAGTCTATTATTGATTTCTTTATCATATGTGCTTTTAATATGTTTATATATATTTCAATTAAATTTTAAAAAATTTTCTGTGAGCCTAGGGCTCTAACTGCTTAAATAACAATTTTCCTGGATTGAGTTACCATTAACGGCTACTGGTGGTAGAGAATAGATTCATAACAACAAAGTTATAACACATGAACATTAAAAAGTAAAATACTCTTGGAAATGCAAATTTTCAAGGATGAGGGGCTTTTTTTCTTGGTGTTTTTTTTTCAATTCACTCATATATCCATGAATAAATATTAAGTGGTCATGGGTAGAAAGAGACAGAGTTAGGCATCAATTAATTTTTTTTTTGTTTTATTTTCTTTTAACAGATGGGGTCCAGCCAAGATGGAGGCATAGGTGGAAACACTGTACCTCCTTACACAACTAAGTTTATGAACAACTAATATTTAAAAACCAGAACGCAACCAAAACAGAGAGAAAATTAAACTGTACAGAAGCCTGACAACAACAAACCATTCAGCCAGACTGGTAAGAGGGGTGGAGTCAGCAGCTGGCAGAGTGGGGTTGCACAGGAAAAAGTGGCCAGACCAACCCAGGCACGCAGGCCACAGTTGACAGATCCCCAGCATGGGGTAGCAACGGGCAGACCCAGTAAGGGCACAAGGCAGCTGGCTGACCACGGTCACACAGTCACGCACAGATAAACCAGGCAAAGGAGCAAGCAGTAAGACAGACCACACAACCCAGGGCCCCAGCGCCAAGAAATAAAACCTAAAAGCACGAATTGGAAAAATTTTCAGGGGTCGAGGTGCCAGGAGAGGCTCCCAGGCTCACAGAGAGTTCGTTGGAGAGACCCACAGGGTTCAGGAGGGTACACAAGCCCACAACTCTGGGAACCAGCACCGGAAGGGCCCAATTTGCTTGTGGAAAGCGGCAGAGGGGAGCAAAATCCAAGAGAGAGCAGAAAAAAACGCCATTGCCCCTCTCTGACCCCGCCCCCACATACAGGGTCACAACCCAGTGACTGGGTCGCCCCACCCTGGTGAACACCCAAGGCTCCGCCCCTCATACGGAACAGGCATGAACAGACCAAAACATTATGGCTCAAGAAGAAGAACAGCTCAAAGCCCCAGAGCCAATACTTCTAAGCGACCAAGAGATAGCCAACCTACCACATGCACAGTTCAAAACACTGGTGATCAGGATGCTCACAGAACTGGTTGATTTTAGTCACAGATTAGATGAAAAAATGAAGACTTCACTAAGTGAAATGAAGTAAAATGCACTGGGAACCAATGGTGATGGGAAGGAAACTGGAACTAAAGTCAATCGAGTGGACCAGAAGAAAGAAAAAAATGACCAAACACAAAACAATGAAGAAACAATAATGCAAAAAAAAAACGAGGAGAGGATTAGGAACCTCCAGGACATCTTTAAACGTTCCAACATCCAAATTATAGGGGTACCAGAAAGGGAAGAGGAAGACCAACAAGTGGAAAACTTTTCTGAATAAATAATAAAGGAGAACTCCCCCAATCTGGCAAAGGAAATATACCTCCAGGAAGTCCAGGAAGCTCAGAGTCCCAAAGAAGTTGGACCCAAGGAAGAACACACCAAGACACATCATAATTACATTAGCCAAGATTAAAATGAAGCAGAGAATCCGAGAAGCAGCAAGAAATAAGGGGACAGTCACCTACAAAGGAGTTCCCATCAGATTGTCAGCGGATTTCTCAAAAGAGACCTTACAGCAAGAAGGGGCTAGAAAGAAGTATTCCAAGTCATGAAATTCAAAAACCTACATCCAAGATTGCTCTATCCAGCAAAGCTCTCATTTAGAATAGAAGGACAGATAAAGTGCTTCTCAGATAAGATCAAGTTCAAGGAGTTTATCATCACCAAGCCCTTATTATATGAAATGTTAAAGGGGCTTATCTAAGAAAAAGAAGATAAAAAATACGAACAGTGAAAGGACAGCAAACTCACAGTTATTAATTAATAACCACACCTAAAACAAAAGCAAACTAAGAGGACAGATAAATCAGGAGCGGAACCATAGAAATGGAGATCACATGGAGGGTTAGCAACAGGGGAGTGGGAGAGAAGGTACAGAGAATAAGTAGCATAGACGGTGGGGAGAAAATAGACAGGGGGGAGGGCAAGAATAGTATGGGAAATACAGAATCTAAAGAACTTATGACACATGGACATGAAGTAAAGGGGGGGAATGGTGGGGAAGGGGTGTGCAGGGTGGAGAGGAATGAAGGGGGGGAAATGGGACAACTGTAATGGCGTAATCAATAAAATATATTTTAAAAAAAGAAAAAAAAAAGAACATGGGAAAAAGTGGATAGTTTGTTATAGCATTATCATTTTGTTCTTTGAACTCTTTCCAAGTGACAGGCCCAAAGTCCCACTGTGCTCCATCACAAAAAATTACGTTTAAGGATCTCTCTGTTCACAATTTGATTAGATTCACATCAAAGGACAGGGCAGCATCCGGACTGCTCCAGGACTCGTGCCCAGTGATCGGCAATAAGCGGCCTGCACTTTCTCCACACCTACACCAACACAAACATGCCAGGGGTCCCTGTTTATGCGTGGAGACTGTGCTCCCCAGGGCAGGACAAAAGGCAAGAATGTGTCTTTCTTTTGTGAAATGGGAGTGGGTCACTGTGTGAGGAAACCTGGGAAAGGAAAACCAGTTGTCAGGGTGCCTGAGGCAGAACAGCTTTGGGAAACAGAGCAGACCTGGGAGCTGTGTACCTGGGAACTGACTCTGTGAACCCTCTCGGTGCACCTGTGTAACACCTGGCGCACCTCCACGTGCTCGCAAACGCAGAGACCAGTCCGACAGCTGCCGACTTAGAGGACTTCCGGGAGGTCGCACCCCCAGACTAGTTTTTGCAGATCACGACTATCAAAACAGGAGAAAGGAACTAAATCCTGATCTGGCCAAAAGGGAAAACTCACTGCACACCTTCTGAAGTGACTCACACCAACGGAATACACGGAACCACTGTGACATGCTCATACCCAGGAAATGGCATCCGAATTAAACAAGCCTCTCGGTCCCACGCTGAGCTTGCAGGAGATGTGGCGGACAGAGGGACAAGTTGTACCGCTGTGCCAAGGAAGCAATCAGCCAAATTCCGAATGTGGGACATTCAATAGACAGTGGGTGTAGTTTTTCTTAACAAATTACCACCATGGGGAAAAAATGGGACTGTTAGAGAATAAAAAAGATTCAAAAGATGTAACAATCAAATTCAATATGAAACCCCTGTTTGAATCTCAATTCTAACAAAACCATTTTAAAGACTTTATTTATTTTTTAGACAGAGGGGAAGGGAGGGATGTGGACCTGGCCCACAACCAGGCATGTGTCCTGACTGGGAATCAAACCAGTGATACGTTGGTTCTCAGGCTAGCACTCAATCCACTGAGCCACACCAGCCAGGGCTTAACATAACCATTTTAGAAGACACCCTTTAAAAAAAATGGAGATGTGAATGTAGACTGGGTATGGGATTACAGATAGTGTCAGGGTGATTGTGCTTAAAAAAGAACAGGTCATTCAGGTCAACAGGGATGTGCACTGAATTTACAGATGCAATTACATATCTGGGATCTGCTTTTACAAACTATTCCAACTTCCCAAGAAAGTCGGGGAAGACAGATGAAATGAGATTAACAAAAGATCAATACTGATTGAAGCTGAGTGGCAGTACCTGGGGTGCATCACAGAATTCTCTACACTTTTTTTACATGTTTGAAAATGTCTGTAATAAAAGGTGCTCTATGAGGGAAGAGGAAGAGAGAAAGAGAAGTTTAACTAGTCCCAGCAAAGCCCCGTGGTATGCCCTTCCTAAATATTTATCTTATTTTACAAGTCCTCAGGCAGCTGCCCAAGGAGCCTCTTTCACTGTCTAAAGAGAGGCAGGGGCACTGAATACACTGGAAATACACAGGGTCAGTGATCAGGGGGAGGCCTTAGCACCTGCGCATCAGAGATGCATCCTGGTCACACGGAGAGAGAGACTGGAAATACCGTGCAGCAGGGAAATGTCAGAGTAAACATGTCTCAATTTATTCCCCCTATAACATGCTACTTACCCCTGCAGCAAAGCCAAGACTTCCATCTAAGATCCGCCTCTGAAAATGAAAACAGGATGTTTCAGTTTCTAAGGGATATTTTCCAGAACGAGAGGAAACCATTACCCCAAAGAGGGCCACGTGAATAGAGTGGACCATGCCTGAGTTTCCAAACTTGCCGGGAAGCCTGGATCCAAGCCTTTATAAAATGGACCAAAAAAATCAGGGGAACAAAATTTTTTAAACTTCCATCCATCCCACAGTCAATCAGAGTCTTCTTTCAGTGTAGTACACAGTTTGCATTGGCCCACGTGCTGCCTCTTACTCTCTCTGTGAATTATGACTACGACCTTTAGTAAGTAGCTGGCCTAAAAGATGGAAATTGACAAGTGCTGGCAAGGAGCATGCAGACCAACCAAAACCCTCCCACGCTGCTGGTGGGGGTGCAAGCTGGCACAGCCACTGGCAGTGACCACAGGCACAGCCTATGACCCAGCAGTGCCACTCCTGAGTAATTACCTAACCCCAACACAGGCACAAAGTCCCCAAAAACACATGTACAGGAATGCTCTTAGCAGCGCTGTTTGTGAGCGCCAAAAAACCAGAAACTACCCATGTAGACACATCAATTAGGATATATTCATACAGCAGAATACCATATGGCAAGGAGAACACACACAAAATATATATGAATGGAGCTCACAGTCAGGCAGGGGCATCCAGTAAATTGCAAAATAAATAGGGTGAAATCAGCCAGACACCAAAGAGCTCACACTATATGATTACTCCATTTACAATGTATAAAAACAGAGAAAACTACTCTCCACTGTCAGAGACCAGGAGAGGGACTGCCTTTCATTGGTGGTTGGGGTGTGGGTCGTGACTAAACGAGAACCTAAAAGGACTGCGGGTAGAGGGCGGGCGGCAGGCGCTGGTAACTGTTCTAGTGCTTGATCTGGGTACCACTGTATTTTCGGGGGCATTTGTGAAAAACTATCAGGCTGCACACTTATAAAATGTGCTTTTTCTACATGCAGCTTATCTTTCAGTCAAAAGTTTTTTAAAGAAGTGGCCTAAATTAGGGATGTCATCTATAACCACGTGAACACATTACGGGCACGTTGAGGCATCAGTCAGCTGATCCGTGAGACTCCTGCTGAGGTCTGGGGAGATGGAACCACCAAGTCGGTCACCTCCAGCCACAGCAGCCTCTTCCTCCCTCTGAGTGACTATGGGCTGGAGGGAAGGCTTTGACCCCAGTGAGCCATACAAATGACATTCTTCTCTAGGCACGCCATGACAAAAGCCCCGTCAATCTAACTGGTTAATTTAATCAAGCCGGACAGATAATAATAAAGAAGTCGGATAAAACCATCCTATTGGCATTCATCTGGATCTCCAAAGAAGAAACACTATACTTTTTTCTAAGGTCAATAAATCTGTTATTCTACTTTTAGACATTTATTTCAAGGAACTAAACAGATATGTGCTCAAAGATTTGTGTTCATTGTAACACTCTCTAAAAGAAAAAAGGACATAACCTAATTGTCCAGCAGTTGGGGGGCAGATAAATAAATTTCAGCACAACTTTATGAAGGGGTACTATCTAGCCATTTATGTAATCCATGTAACCAAAATAACCAGAGCAATCAAAAAACCACTTAGGGGTATGGAGATGCTTATGGTATCAACTGAGAAAAGCTGATTATAAAACATTACATGCAATTTGAGCCCTATTATATAAAGAAAATAGACATGTATATACTTATGCATATTCAAATGCAACTGAACAAATTTGAACAAATGATTTTTCCTTTCTGAGTAGATTAGAAATTTTTGTAATTATTTCTTTAAGCTTTTCCATATTTTACAAGTTTCCTAGAATTAAAATATGATTCTTAGGTCAGGAAAACCAATTCTGAGTAAAGCTACCCCAGTGCTGATAATAGAGGACAGACGTCTAAGTGTCTCCTGTCTCAAATGACCCTCCCTGTAGCCCCAGTTTCAGCTGGGTGAAAACAGCTGGGGGATGGAGCACACCTGTGGACTCACACCTACTGTGGCCTTCGTCTCCCCGGCCCACTCACACCTCCTGTGCAGGAAGGGTTAACACAGCCCACCTGAGCCTACTCTCTTTGGAAGGTCCTGCTTTCAAGGCTGGTCTCGGGCTGCCTTCTGGGAACCAGGAACTGCAACTGCTCCCTCCTTTCCCTAACCGATAAGGATGGGTCACTGCGCCTGTTCTATAAACACTGCAATTTACACGGGACACCTGCTTTCCCTCTGTGAGTCTGCAATGTGAACGGCAGCAGCAGCTGGTGCCCATAAAAACCTGTCTCTAATGGGCGCCACTGTGCAGACACATCACCACAGTGCTGGGGAAGGCCCACAGGAGGGCCGGGGCATCAGAAGCCTGTGCACACATTTCTCCAGACTCCGCCTGTCTTTCCCTTGCTGCCCTTGTTATGTGTCCTTTTACTGTAATAGATCTTAGGTAGGGGGACAACTACACGCTGAGTCCTGTGGGTCCTCCTAATGAATCAGCTATGTAGGTGATCTTGGGGACCCCCTATATGCCTCCACAGAGGGAAAGGTCTTAGCAATTCCTCTTCCTGACCTGAGTGGGTACCTGCCCAGCCCCAAGGGGAAGGAGGCCCCTCTGGGATGGATCCCCACTTCTGAGGAACCCACAGCACTGGCCAGGGCCACACAGGGCTATGAGGTTCTACTCAACACAGCACGGCATTTAATTCAACTCTCAACGGCCAGCTAGACCCCAGCTAGTGCGACTCAGACCTTTCCTTCTCAAAGCAAAAGAATCTGGTAAAGGAGAAAACATGGGCTGCTCGGCCCCTGAAGGGCACCAGAACAGGATCCCGGGAAACCTGGTGTGGCTGTCATGAAAAAGGAGGGGGTCAGGGAATCTGGAGCCCTCTCCTCCGGCTCCTGGGTGTCTCTCACTCAGGGGCTGGGTATCGAATGTCTTCACTACAATGGACAGTAACCTGGGTTCGGGGTTGTGTGTCTTGAGTTCCAAGCCTCTGATGGCCTCCAAACACCCACTCAGGAGGGAGGAGAGTGCAGCAGGGGAGGTCTGATCTTATCGCTGACATTGATACCTGCTCTACCGGTCTCCAACACAGCAGTGACTCGCTTGCCAACTTCCTAGACATGTTTTAGTTTCCAGGTACGCCTCCCAGCGTGTTTGACTAGATCTTAAATCACTTACTCGCTTAGCACTCCTATAATTTCTAAGGCTGCATTCACCAAGTTACCCATGGACCACTCTAGGCCTGGGGATGGAGGGAATCAAGGAATGAAGAAGCATAAGGAACTCAGGCCCAGGAGGAGAGGGTTGATGTATGTGGAATATGTGTTGGGGGGAGCGTGGGGTGTGGGTGGGAGTGTGACAGTATGTGTGGACTGTGTAGGAGGGATTAGGATAGGAGGAGGGACAGATGTGGGCGTATGGGAGACACGGTGGTGCATGGCGTGCAGGGGTGAGTAAGGTGGGTGAGGGTGGGGTGGGTGGGTGGGTGGGTGCTGGATCCGAGTGTATTTATCCAAAAGGGGTTGGGGGAGGGAATGAAGAGCCCTGGATTTGGAGTAAGAGAGAGGGAACAGACACCCCTCCTTTCCCCCAGGTCTCTCCACCATCCCAGCTAACTCAAGGCCACAGGGAAGAACAGTACAACCCAAACCTACTGTTCTTCTTCAGCCATGCGCATCACCACCTGCACCAGGCCCTGAAGAGACTGGATGGAAGATGGAAATCGGGCAGGGGCTCCAGGAGGCTGAATCACTGGGTTTCCTACCCCCTGCTCCCTCGGAATAGGGAGGGGAGAGAAAGCAGTATGGGGGCTACAGACACCTGCTCTCCAGACCTGGTAGGGAGAAGGGGAGCAAATGAGAGGACAGAGGACAATCCTCACCCACAACCTGGAAGTGTGGCCAGTGGCATTCAAGACTCTGCCACCCTGCTGGGAAGAGTGGAGATGTTCCAGAGCCTGCTAAGAGAGTCCCCACGAACTCCCAGAACCAAATCAAGACAACTCACTCACCTGTCCACTAGAGAACACGAACACGAGAGCCGCCCCAGCTGCCGTCATTCCCCAGGTGAAGAAGGTCCCCAGCAAGGCCTGGAACACAGTGCTGTAGCCTTGGAGCATGCTGGATACGGCTGTGTGCAGAGGAACAAGAGACGGTTAGTGCCAGCGGTCCCCTCCGGTGACACGCCGATGTTCTAAGGCGTCCTAACCCCTTCTACCTGAGCTGGCCTCTGTCTGGGTTGGTCTATGCACCTGTCCACCATGCTGCCCCTCAGTGAAATCATCTAATTCTGGAAGGAGAGACATGGGGACACCTAGAGAGACACCAGGGGAGAAGATACCATGAAAGAGGTTAAAACATCGGGAAATAGTTCCAAAGAGAAGCTCAAAGAATGTGAACTATTAAGCCTGGAGGAAGGGAGGGTCTGATTGCAGCCTTTCACCTTTCACCTACATCTCCTGCCCCTGCCAATCATTGTCCATCTTCTCCAAATACTGGTGACCAGCTCAGGTTCCCCATGAAACTCATCCAGCTAAGTCCTGATCCAACCTACAATAGCTCCCCATGAAAGCTCCTGTGGTGGCTCCCGTGGTCTGCCAAGGGCATACTCCATTAACTGAACTTCAACTAGCCCAGCAACAATTCAAGCCTGTGTCCCCATTACCACTATGGCCTAAGTGGGCACCAACTCAACCGAATTATTGATGGCACCTGGGACAAGCCCCACACGGTCCTGCTCCAAGTCCTTCTTCACACAGTTCCCTTCCAGAATGCCTTCCTTCCCCGCCTCCAGTCACCTGATCCAGAGCATCCTCTGTTGCCTACCTAATGCCAACATATGCCAACTTCAATTCCATGCTTTTCCAATCCCTCACCACACCTGTCACTGCACATGTGCACATCTTTGGTCCCTTCTTTGTGAGGGCTTGCCTCCTTCAACTTTTACATCATTAGCTGCTTAAGAACAGGAATTATGCTTTTTCACATTTGGCACACCAGTACATAGGGCTTCTGGCCGCCAAAACTCAATTATTTGTGGCACCTTGGACAGCTTACCTCGATAGGACACTCAGCGAGAACAAGAAACAGAACTAAAAGTAAAATGCCCCCAGCCAACCACTAAAGCTGAAGTTACACCACTGCCCACCAAGGAACATACTGGAAGGCTCATTCCCTCATTTTTGCTCAGAGAGCTTCCTCTACACTTGAGCATGTTTTAAATCCTAGGTCTAAAATGATAGGGAGTTAGACTCTTGCTGTGGAAAATTACAGGGCAGAGAAACCCATTTGTTGAAAAGCCCTGTGTTCTGGTACACAAACATTGGGGCCAAGGGCCTCCTCATCTCAAAGAGCTCATTCAGCTCCTCACTGGTCGTCCAGCACCCACAGGGCTGGACACAGCCCCATTGGGCTTAGCCCTGCCAGGCCCCAGAGCTCTGTGAGGAGCCAGCAACCCTGGGCAAGAAACGCTGGCTCTGTTGACCCTGGAAGGAAACTGTGACAGAGGCTGTCAGAGGCTCTCAGGCCCTGGGGCTCAAGATTCAAACCTAGTAAGGCTGTGGGTCCAGGTAAACCCAGATAAGCCCAGGTGAGCCTGGGTGAACCCTGGCTTGACCCTGGTGCCAGGAAACCTCTAGGACGGATGGCATCTATGGATTCAGACTGTGTCTCCATAAACTAAATGGAACTCAGGATGCTGACTGCACCAAATAAAAAAAAAAAATCAGCCCTGGCTGGTGTAGCTCAGTGGATTGAGCACTGCTCTGGAAACCAAAGGGTCGCAGGTTCGATGCCCAGTTCAGAGTATATGCCTAGGTTGGGGGCCAGGTCCCTGGTAGGGGGAACATGAGAGGCAATCACACATTAATGTTTTTGTCCCTCTTTTTCTGCCTCCCTTCCCCTTTCTCTAAAAATAAATAAAATCTTTTAAAATTTTATTTAAAAAACACCCCCTTTTACATAGTCATCCTGTTAAGTCACCTTAAAAAGAGTGGTTTGTGTTTGTTTTTAAAACTAGACATCTGGATCATGACAACCACCTTTCTATGTCTAGCTGCCTGTGGATAAAATTTCAAACAGCGTTTACAAAGAAAGGCACAGAGCTATCATCTTCTTTGTATTTATCACCCAAGGCAGGTCATTAAAAAAAAAACAAAACGAAAAAGCAGTATTGAATGTGCCTTTTACCAACTACAGAAAAGAAGAAACCATTTGCATTTGCCAAAAGGCCAAAGTCAAAGTGGGTTTGGTTTTGGAAACTTGTGGGTGTTTGCGGGGGCTAGTCGGAGGGAACACACTCTTCCAAGCCTGTGCATTTACAGCTGACACCCTGGGACATAAAAGGGGCACATGGGGAAAACCAAGGGCACCATCCCAACAGTTGCAGCGTTTATCCTTGGCCATGCAAGACCAGCGCCTCTTGGGGAAGTTTCTTCCCTTTGCTGCCTTAAGAGGGGTGGTCTGAGAATCAGCAGCGCCGGTCCCTCTTGGGAGCTAGTTAGAAATGCAGAACCTCAGGCCCTACCCTAGACTTGTTGAATCGGAATCTGCATTTTATCAAGTCTTACACACATTAAAGTGGAAAGCCCTGTTCTAAAACTAGAACAACTTCGACGAGACCCAGAACTTAGAAGGGGATTCTGCTGTCCAGTGAGGGATTGGCAAGGCAAACATAGAGCCCCAAGATAAGTTTTCTCCAGTAGCCTTGTAGGGACAGGGCACAGCAGCCCCTGCACCTCAAAAGCAGCTTCCACAGTGGGGCCCAGACTTCCTCGTGAGCTGGATGTTGATACATAAACCTTGATTAGATTGCAAGGGGGAGGAGGTTCTCTGCTCAGCCCAACTTCAAAGATGCCACCACCACCCACAGGTGCGCACTGTACTACAGCAGCACCTGAGGCGCTCCTGGTTGACCCAGGTTTTCTTTCTTTTCTCTCCCTTTTAAGCCCGTTGCTGTGCTTCCAAGACTCAGGTGCAAGATGTTGATGAAGCTGCAGGGCAGAAACAGCACTTAAGGCAAGTGCACATACAGGCCCTGGCTCCACTAAGGGAACCCAGAAAAATGATTCGGGCTTGGGCTGCTACGGACGTGTAAAAGTTCTCCAGCAGCTCGCTACTCAAAGTGGTCCGCAGACCGACTGACCTGGCTCTGGTTGGAAATGCACAATCTCAGGCCTGTAGCATCTTAACCAGATCCCAAGTCAAGTTCCAGAGGTCCTGCTGACCCCCAGGGCCGGGGGGAGGGGACAGAGAGCGGCCGGAATTGTAACCACCTTGCTCCCAGGGCTCCAATGTCGCCACACGCCCTCCGTGAAGCGCTGAATGAAGAGGACCTTGGAGAACCACTGACAAAGGAAGGCAGGACCGCACCCCCCAGCTTGCCTGGGAGAGGCGACTGGGGGCAGGTGGGTCCGGGGGTGTTATTCTCCGTCCTCAGCCACCTGCCGATGCGCCCAGCTTCCCCTCGACCCCCTCCAGTCCCTAGACACTCCCTTCTGAATTCCGTGTTGCCCTTCCGAGTCCCACACACTGGCCCTGATGGCCCCGGACCCCGGGCCTTTGGCCCAACCGAAGATGCTGAAGGAGAGAAAAGCCGACTCACTACGGTGCCCTCTCAAGCCCCCACTCCACTTCCATCAGCCCCCGCTGCCGCTCGCGCGCCGGCTCCACTCCCGAAGTCACTTCCTGCTTCCCTCCCCGCACACGTGTCCCTACGCCCACCAGGCCCCGCCCCTCCCTGCTGTGACTGGCAGATCCTGCAGGGAAGATAAATTCTCTGGTTCACAGTCTCTGCAGGCTCAGGAACAGATGGGGCGGGTAGACCAGAGCTATGGGGCCAGGCGGAAAGGATGTTATGCATGTATAAGCCTTGGTAGTCTTATCTGAAGCCACAGAAACCCGAGGAAACAGACTGTGTAAGATCCCTGATATCATTTATGTCACAGCAGAGTCCCACGCCCTGAGGGAGCAGATCAGAAGGTGTTTGAGAGGGTCTGAGGAGTTGGGGTGGGGGGAGGCTGGGATCTCCCACTATCAGCATCCATTCCCTAGGTCAATGACCCTCAAACCACAATTCCCGACAAGGTCACCAGGAGCGATGTCAAAACACAGAAGGCAAGCACCATCAGAAGTTCTGGTTCTGGGAGTCTGGGTCTGGCCCGAGGTTTTCTGTTCTGAACTAGGAGTTGCTGGGATCACTATGAGAATCAGTGCTCCAGCTCAAGAACTTTGCTCTCAGAGCCTTCTATAAAAAGACCATAGAGAGCCCTGGCTGGTGTGGCTCAGTGGATTGAGCACCGGTCTGTGAACCAAAGGGTCGCAGGCTCCATTCCCGGTCAGGGCACATGCCTGGGTTGCAGGCCAGGTCCCCAGTGGAGGGGTATGGGAGAAGCACCCACACATTGATATTTCTCCCTCTCTTTCTCTCTCCCCTCCCCCTCTCAAAAATAAATAAAATCTTAAAATAAATTTTAAGAAAAAAGACCAGGGAGTACAATTGCTAGATTTAGCCAAAAATTTAAAAAGATATTTGGTGAAATTTACATTTTAAATAAACAAGTAATTTTTTAGTGTAAGGTTGTCCTGTGCAATATTTGGGACATACTATACTAAACCTCTTTCATATTTGTTGTTTATCAGAAATTCAGATTTAACTTGGCATCCTGTATTTTATCTGATGATCCTATCAGAGAGTAATGGGGACAGAAAAACCTCCCGTCATCACGCGGCCATGACCAGAGGGTCCTATAGGAGGAGGCCTTTTCTGTCCAGCAGAAGCTGGTCATTCATGCTGAGGGTGGCTCCATATCCATGCACTGCATCAGGAAGAAGGCATTCTCACTGTAGGGTGGTCTCTGCCCTCAGGCACTTGTCAAACCAGGGAGAGCACCAGACCAGCTGTCTTGGTCAGCTTAGGGTACCCTAAGAAATGTTTCTGTTGTATATAAGCTACCCAGTTTGTGGGATCTTGTTATAGCAGCATGAACAGATGGCAACATCCCACTTTACAGATAAGAAAACTGAGGCTCAGGAAGGCTCTTTAGTGACCCCGGGTTGACAGAATAGTGTAGGAAACCAAACCCGGCTGACTCCAGAGATGGTATTGGGATGCTCAGTGCTCACAGCATGGGA